TCTGGAGGTTTCAGAGAATGTGAGAGCAGGTCAGCAGGCCAATCGTTCTCGTTTTGGGGGAAGCAATCAATGCCTCTCTCTGGGGTTATGCAGTTTTTTCACTGGAGCATGTGCGGTTAGTAAGAAGATATGGTCGCCAGTAGACAGGAGGAGGTCCCGCTGGTGCCCCCCAGTGTCTCCTTCTCATCTCCGGATCAGATTAAGAAGGGAGAGGACAGGAATGGTAGGGGAAGTTATGCTAAACATGTCTCAGGCCCATACCTGTTTCCTTATGTTTGCTCATGTCCTCTCATGCCCTCAGTCTTGGCATACTTCGAAACTTCCAACAATGCATTGCAGAAGGAACGCTGAGCCCGTTTCTCTGCATGTCATGCTCCCCACAATTAGACTGGAGCCTTTTGAGAAAAGAAAAAAAAAAGAAAAAAAGAGAGGAGGTCAATCCTTCTCCGTTTGGGGGAAGTAATCAATGCCTCTCTCTCGTGGTTAGGCAGAATTTTGTGTCGCGAAATTGGAATGTGGTAACTTGTAATGCAAGCCTTGGGCACTTGGCCCTTTTGAAGGGGCTCTGCCCTCCCCGACTCTACTCCTTCTCCCCATCCCAACTCTGCCTGTCCCCCCTTCTCTCTCTCTCTCTCTCTCTCTCTCTCTCTCTCTCTCTCTCTCTCTCTCTCTCTCTCTGTGCATCATTGCCATCCCTACTCTGCCAGTTCTGGCCATCCTCATCCCGACTCTACTCCTCCCTATCCCGACTCTGTCGCGTCTCCCCGTCCCGACTACGCCTGCCGCCCACCCCCACCCACTCTCTCTCTCTCTCTCCCACACACTCCTGACTCCGCTCCCTCGCCCCATCAACTGTGCAAGGATGGCACCTATAACTCTACTATGTAGAGCGGCGGTGGTGGCCCCTCTCGATCGATCAATCAATTTTTGCCTCTATTCCCCATCAAAAATAGAACAGCCGAGGCTAGGCTGAGGGAAGGTGCAGACGGGCAAGGAGGACAGGCCGAGGAGGGTCGGATGGAGGACGGTCGGGAAGAGGCAGGAAATGTCGGTGGAGAAGCGCAGGCCAAGGGAGTCGGGTAGAGGAGGTCAGGTGTATGAAGGGAGTTCAGACGGTGGAGGTCAGGCAGAGGAGGTGGGATGGAGGAGGGATGGAGAACGTCAGGCGGACATGTGACGGAGGAGGTGAGGCAGAGGAGATGGGGCAGAGGTCAGGGGGAGGCGGGGCAGAGGTCAGGGGGAGGCGGGGCAGAGGAGGNAGTATGGAAGTTGGAAACTCTTCTTTCTTGTCGCGACCTCCTCCATCTCTCCTCCTCCTGTCTCTTATACACATCTAGATGTGTATAAGAGACAGTCACGGTGTCGTCCTTTTTCTTTTCCCATAGTATGGAAGTTGGAAACTCTTCTTTCTTGTCGCGACCTCCTCCATCTCTCCTCCTCCTCATCATTATACACATCTAGATGTGTATAAGAGACAGTATCCCGACTCTGTCGCGTCTCCCCGTCCCGACTACGCCTGCCGCCCACCCCCACCCACTCTCTCTCTCTCTCTCTCTCTCTCTCTCTCTCTCTCTCTCTCTCTCTCTCTCTCTCTCTCTCTCTCTCTCTCTCTCTCATCAGGTCAATTCTCACTTCTTTTCTCCTCAAAGAAACAAACACATGAAGCTAGTTAGGATGAGGGGGGGCCCGGCCGGTGGCAGAGGGCGGGCCGAGGAGTTCGGGCAGAGGAAGGTCGGGAGGAGGGAGCAGAACATCGGTGGAGGGCGTCGGGCAGAGGACGGTCGGGAGGAGGTAGGAGGAGGTCGCCTAAGGAGCACAGGTGCAGGCGGAGGACGGGAGGAGGTCAGGCGGAGGTGTGCTGAGGAGGCTGGGCGGCGGAGGTGGGTTGGAGGAGGTTGGGCGGCGGAGGTGGGTTGGAGGAGGTTGGGCGGCGGAGATCTGGCAGAGGAGGTCAGCTGAGGAAGGGAGGAGGTGGAGTAGAGGAGGTGGAGCGGAGGAGGTGGAGTGGAGGACGTAGGGTGAAGGGGGTGGGGGAGAGGAGGTGGGAAGGACCTCGGGCAGAGGAGGTTGGGTGGAGAACATCGGGCGGAGGTGGGCCAGAGGAGGATGGTCCGAGGGGGTGGGGCAGAGGAGGTCCGTCAGAAGAGAGGATGAGGTTGGGCGGAGGGCGGAGGTCGGACTCCCCTTTCCCAACCAAACTCAGGCTCTCCTCCTCCCCCTGTCGCCCTGTTCCCCTAGTACACGGCCCCAGCCTTGCAGAAAACATTTTGTCCCCATGGCACTATAGCACCGCAAGTTTCCGGGCTGGCGTGTACCGTTGATAAAGATTATCAAGTGCCAGCATCGCATTTCAGGCCTCCAAAACTTGCGGTGTCAGGGCCGCGGCCTCGAGTGCCCATGTACTGGTGGTTTAACATCAGCACACTCATGTTATTAATCCTATTAATCCCTCCGCGTCATCATCATCTTCATTCAATCTCTTCTCCTCGCCTTTTGTCCCCATGGCACTATAGCACCGCAAGTTTCCGGGCTGGCGTGTACCGTTGATAAAGATTATTGAGTGCCAGCATCGCATTTCGGGCCTCCAAAACTTGCGGTGTCAGGGCTGCAGCCTCAAGTGCCCATGTACTGGTGGTTTAACATCAGCACACTCATCTTATTAATCCTATTAATCCCTCCGCTTCATCATCATCTTCATTCAATCTCTTCTCCTCGCCTCCTCTTCCTCCTCATTTTCTGATTGACGTCATTCCCATCTCATCTTCTACTGATCATCCCTTCTCCATTCCCTTCCTTTCCCATGCTTGAAGAATTGGATTGGACACTGAACCGGACAGATGCACAGGATTGGACACTGAACCGAAAAGAGGAGAATGATGACGTGGAGGGGGGTGTATGAAGAAGAAAGAGATTAGAGGAGAAAGACATGAGGAGGAAGATGAGGAGGAGCGAGCATGGCAAGGAAAAACAGGAAGGGAAAGCAGAACGACTGAAACCACCATAGTCCTCCCCTTTTCCTATCCCTTGTCAAACCCTCGTACTCCTCCCCATTTTCTAATTGATCCCATCCCCATCTTACCTTGTCCTCAACATCACTTCTCGACCTCTTACCTTTCATCCTCGTCATAATCTTCATCAGTCAGTATGGTTATGGTCGGCTGGATGCTTGAGCACTTGGCTTTAAATGCTCTCTATCTGCCTCCATCACGGCATATATAAATGAGATCGGCGTGCCAACTCTCAAGCTTGCTTGCCTCACCGAAGTGAAACTCCTTTTGCAGTCTACTGCAGAGAATAATCGGAACCCACTATGTTCCTTCCTCGAATACCTCACATCAGTGCTCTCTCTCTCTGTCTCTCTCTCTCTCTCTCTCACACACACACACACACACACACACACACACACACACACTATTAGTGTGTTGTCATGTTCGCCGTGCATGCCTGTGTTGTCATGTTTGCTGTATGCAACTCCACAAAAGGAAGCATGACTGTGCCAGACTGTTTCGTCGGATTTTCACAGACTCATCAGGAGGGTGAACCTCGACAATCTGCCCAAGATGCATTTGTGTGTGTGTATGTCATGTCATGTTCGGTATACACAAGTCCAGTCAGAAGGTTGCATATGAGTGTGTCCATGTGTGTGTGCATTCGCATGTGTGCGGGTGCCTGCATGTGTGTGAGTGCATGTGAGTGTGCGTTGTCGACTGCCCTAAAGAGCACCACTGCACCACCAAAGGCCTGAGCGAGAAAAAAAGGGAAACAGTTTTGCTTCAGGCCTGGTGGCTGGCGGGGCAGACCATACGCAGAGGGCCACCCTGCAACGGGCCAATGCCCAAAGGCACCAGGCGTAAGGCCCAGCAATTTTTGTTCTCACTACCTGTTTTTTTTCACTACCTACAGGCCCGTACAGGCCCTCACACCCTCTTCCCGACGGGTGCGTTGATCCGGACCGGCAGCCGGTCCAACGGTTCGGATTGTCGCGCGATCTTAAGACCTTAAGATTGCACGACGATCCTGGCCACCCACCCTGTCTGACGGCCTGGATCATCGCATGATCTTAAAGTCTTCAGATTGCGCGACAATCCGAACCGTCCGGTCGGTAGGACCACGAACGGCCCCGATTGCTGATTTCTCACGTTACGGATTTCTATACGTGTAGGAATAGACCTCAATTTGAAATCGGGGAAGAAAAAAAGCGCATGGTGGGTGGTAAACTTTGGGCATGTGTACGGCCGGGCATGGGTGGATGAAAATTGGTTGTGGTTGCGCACGTGGAGAAAATTTAGGCCTGGGTGTGGCTGGGTAGGGGTAAGGATTCTACTGCAGATGCTGGGTGAACTGGGCACGGGTAGAACCAAATTAATTACCTTGGGTGGGGTGGGTCTGGGTGGGAAGAGAAAAATTGACGTGGGTGGCACTGGGTGCGGGTACACATGATATATCAAGGCTTGGATTGGGTCGGATATGGGTGGCAGGAAAAATTCGTTTGGCGACCTCTGCCGAGCACCATGTAGGAGAGGATGTTGTAGGCGAGGAGAGAGCTTTCATTGCCAGTTGACTTCATTGTTTTGCTCTTATTTGGTGTATCTTATGTCGCATTCTGGTCTTCAATGGGATGATGCTACTTCGTTTCTGGCATTCGGTTCACTCATTTTCCTTGCAGTTGGAACTCAAAAAAAAAAAAAAAAAAAAAAAAAAAAAAGAGAGAGCCGTTGGACCAAGGTCGGACCAGGTAGAGATGGACACCAGGGCCTTAAACAGTAGCTACTAGCTACTGTACACACCCCTTCAATCACAAAACAGCGAGAGAAAAACAAAGTTTGCATGGAAATCATTCATGTAACAATCCAGAGTGTCCGAAGTTCCAAACAGTTCAGACAATGCAAGGAAAGGGGGGGAAGAAACTTTGGGAAAGAACAAGGGGGAAAAGAAAAAGCAGAACAAGACAAGAAAACAACAAAAAAAAAAGTGACACATACACACCACGAAGAGTTCCTAAAAGCAACAACCATTCATTGCTGCCGGAAAACTAGAAAACACAACTCCAAAAAACTTCCAGAAAAAAAAAAACAAGGAAAGACAGCGAAAAACACGAGTTAGAACTTCCTAAAATTAACAACAACCATTGCTGCGGGACAAACTAGAAAAAAGAATTGTTGTTGCATTCACAACAAATCTTATGGTATCCTCTACCTACATGTAAAATGCAGGAAGTGCTCCCTACGCTAACAACACCAAGCAGCGAACAACAAGGCTATTCATTCATCCCTCCCTCTGCGAGAATAACCTCCCACCGATCCTCCCAACCACCAGTTCACACGAACCTAAGTTGACGAAGCTACCATCCAAGTCTCGTGAGCCTGCAAGTGCACCTTGTCAAGGTGGCCTTCCGCTTTGCTACCGGCCCAGGACCAAATCGAAAAGCTTTTACCGCATAAACCAGTAAGAGCTATGCTCTACTTCGGGTGAACTCATCGTTTAAGGCTATTGCTGTTGTGCCTGACACCATTCTTCAGCAAGATGAGGAAGAACGGCCGGGGGGGAGGGGGGGAGGGGGGGAAGGGGGGCAGTGGTTTCCCGATCTCCTCTCCCCTCTGAAAGCACAACATCAGATTAGCTCATTCCGACTCCTTGCTCTCTTCACCATCAGACATATGACTTATGAGCCCTTGGCATACCTTCGACCATCCGTCCATCCATCATGTTTCCCTCCAATGAACACCGCACATGTCCGATCAAGTAGCAACTATCCCATCAACAGCGTACATTCGTAACCAACTCTCATAGGGACACAAAGGACAAACGAGACACGCTACGACAAGTAACCCCCACAGAGCTCATAAGAATGCATTCAATGCAGTGATCCCTTTCCTCGACTTACGTGAGGACACTCTCGCTTCAGCTCTTTTCGAATCCACACCTACATTGCAAACAATAGGACCGCCGGCAAGTAGTCAGGACCACAAAACGTTCTGCTCTGCTCTTAAACCACCGCTGCCTCCATGCGCCCCAAAAGCACTCGCCTGAGAACCGGAGGGCTGTGGAGCGAACAAAATCAGCCGGCCATGTGATGGACACCCCGACAAGCTCGGCCCACAGCACCAAATCCCACCGCTGAGCCTGTATCACAGGTTCGGTCTGTTTCTTCTTGGGAAACATCGACTGGGCCTGCCGTAGGTTCGGACACTGTGATCCAAATGCTACCACCGTACCTGAGGGCTTCGTGGTCGGGCTTGGAAGATGGCGGTGGTCGTCTAAGATAGGCAAACAGCCATTCTCCTTCACAGTCCAAGACCCCCCACTCTGTCATCACATCATGTTCCCTCCCCTCCTCAACAGCTCCCTCGAAATTCAGTATGCTGCCGTGGATCGATCACCCAACCCTAACCTTTTACAATGCATGCTCTACAAGTAACTCTTTGTAGATGTTCGCCACTCACAACAGACTGGTGAGTTCATCCTAAGCCCCCATCCCCATGGTGAGTTCACCCTAAGCCCCCATCCCCACCACCACAATATTTCTCGGGAAACGCTCACATAGCCTCTACACACAATATTTCTCGGGAAACGCTCACATGGCCTCTGCACAAAGAACTGCATAACTCACACATGTAGTAGTAGGGAAACCGTACCCGAATATTTGTAGCTTATCCCCTCCAAGAACTAATTGGCATTTGTAGCTTATCCCCTCCACGAGCGAATGCATTGTGGGTGCATTGGTGAAGCCGACTGCTGGTCGGACGATATACAATCAGGAACATGCATGCAGATTTTGCTCGCATTACAAATCCAGTAAGGAAGAAAGGAAAGAAGGAATCCAAGTAATCAATATGGGTGCATCATCGAGATCCGATCCGATGTTGCCTCTTAACTTACATGCCCACTGCCAAGAATGGGTAACAACCCCGCAACTCCAAGGAGACGCAAGGTGATGAAACAGCTATATATCAGCAGAAGTCCAATGCCCAATCCTTTTGTCAGACGCATCTGATTTGAGAGTAGAGTGAACGCTGCAAAAGACATGCCTCCCATAAGGAATGCCATGGTCACAAATATTGTAGTCTTTCCATCGTCAGCGCCTAAAGGGATCACAAATGCATGAGGGCGAGTCCTCCAACTCGACAAAGCCAAGCTTGCTCCGATTCCGATCAGACAGTTAAACATCGGCCCTGCATAGCTCGCAGACACAGCCATCTGCGCCCCAGGGCCCCCGCTCTTCGCGAGTGTGAGATTGGAAACCACATCTCCAATTGAGTTACCCCAGGCAAGCACCGTCACACCAAGTATTGTCGCGTCGATTCCCAAGATATTGCCGATGGCGACAAGGACTGCGACAAGCTCATTTGCGAGAACATAGAACCAGACGATACTCATAACAAACCCAACACATACCCAAGGGAATGCCCACCGATCTGGCGGTCCACCTCCCATATCGGTAAACCTTGCAGAACTTGTGTCACTTCGCGTAGCAACCATAGCCAGCAACCCCATAACGACACCTGAGAGGATAGCGGTTGCCCACGTCCGCCCGTCCTCCCACGTAAAGGTGCGGGTGACCACAGCAAGGGTGAACATCAATGGAGCGAGTGTTGCACTTGTGATAAACACATGGCGAGACCACCGCTCCTCTTCCAGGCATGGAATCGTCAAGCGTCGGGGCATGATCAGCGGCACAGCGAGAGCCTTCTTCAACCCTTTCCTGAAACCGAAGTTAAGTCTTCGCCACGCTGATGCTAAGCTAGACTCGGTCGCCCTCGTTGAATCCTCCTCCATCCAGCCCCACAAAGGCCTTGGGTTAGACCATCCATAATCCCAGCCATCGGCATGTCTCTGCTTTTGCGCATAAATGGCCACATGGGCAGTCCACATCCACTGTGGCAACGCATTTCCCGCACACCTCGAACTGACATCATCTGGGGCTGGTGTGGGGAACATCGTAAGGCCCCGAACTTCTTCCACAGAGGCATCTTCCTCCAACAAAAACTGCCCGGTACCTCCCCCCAGCAATGTGTGATACTCGTCACCCTCATCAAAGTCTATCCACCCACCTTTGAACGGGTCTGTTGCTGCCAGATTACCCGATGTGAAAGGCTGAAGCAGCCACCACTCCGTCGATCCCGGGGTCTTGTTCCTCGCCCACTTGGCAAAAGCCTCTGAGCTAGCAACAGTCACCGCGTACGCTATGTAAAGCGATAAGAAGGCAAGTGTGCCCCATACTGTCACTCGGCCCACAAAAATGATTATGAACAGACCCTGACCACAGATGAGGGGGAACAAAAAAACAAACAAAGCAACAGAACAAGTTCAGATCGGTACTTATATGAAAGAACGAATCCCTATCCATGCACACTTTGTCATGCTCGTGCCAAAGTCGCAGGCACCACCACACAATAATCATATTGGGCTAGCATAAACCTGGCCGAATTTTTATTTTATTTATAGTTTATAGTACTTTATACATATCAATCAAAGTTATCAAACACTATAATTCGAATTACATAAATCAGAGATTCAATGGATTTAATGGATATATACAAATCAATGAAATCATACATGCAAGCGCACATCGTTCTGGTTCGCCGACCGTGGGCGCTCAAGCGGACCCCGACCGTGCAGCGGGTGTCGATTCATCCCTCTATCGCCCCCAGCAAAAATGGTGTTGCCGCCCCAAAAAAAGTTTCGCCGGCCGCGCTCAAGAGGGGCCCGAAACGAATTTGAATTTCGTTTTTGTTGTAGGTCGAAACTGGACGGGCTTGGGGGGCCGTTTCTTGGTCCTCGTAGGTCGAAACTGGAAGGGCGTCGGGGGACAGTTTTTCTGTCGTTGGTGCAGGCTGCCTCCAGTCCAGCTCAAGGAAGCAGCGCCGTCAGTCGCCCTCTACGAGCTCCGGAGTGACCATCACCGACTTTGATCATCCTCGAAGGTGAGTCTTCACCATCCTTCCTGCCCTCCCTCGAACTCACCTCCTCCTCCACGTCTTCATCCTCTTCGTCCTCTCCTCCTTGTCCATCTCTCCTCCTCCTCGTCACGGTGTCGTCCTTTTTCTTTTCCCATAGTATGGAAGTTGGAAACTCTTCTTTCTTGTCGCGACCTCCTCCATNTCCTCGTCACGGTGTCGTCCTTTTTCTTTTCCCATAGTATGGAAGTTGGAAACTCTTCTTTCTTGTCGCGACCTCCTCCATCTCTCCTCCTCCTCATCACTTCCTCCTCAATCTCTTCTCATCCTCGCCGCCTCCTGCATCTCTTCTCCTCCTCTCTCGTCATTTCCTCCTCCATGTCAGCTTCCTCCTCCTCTTCTCCTCTCCTCCTCCTCGCCCTCCTCCATCTCTCCTCGTCAAGGTCTTGTCACCTTTTCGTATGTAAGCTTCGAGTAGCGTTGGTATCTCCTCCTCTTCCCTTCCTCATCCATCTTTCCTCCTCCATATCTGGTCGTCCTCCTCCTCCACCCCTCAACCTCCATCTTTCACCCTTGTGGCATACTACACAGCCACACGGGCCTGTAGGGCCCGACCAGATGGAAAATAAGTGTAATGACCCGCCAAAAACACAGACTGAGAACACTGGTGATTTCTGGGACTTGCCACTGGAATGAATGCCTGCTGAAATTCCCGCATTCTGCTGTGATTTCCATGTCTGTGTGTGTGCGTGCCTGCTGGTTTCCATGCCTGTCTGAGTGCTTGTCGGCTGAGTGTGTGTGTGACCCGCAAGGGTACTTGTTGGTTGAAGGGCCCCGCAGGGCCGGTACTTACCTGTGGCCGTGACTTTGAGGGTTGCAGGGGGGGAAACACTCAAGTAGCGGGG